AAAAAATCATATTAACAGGGGCAAATCCGTCATTTTGAAAAAAATCATAATAGATTGGACCAAACAAGCAACAAAATGAAAACTTTGGACCTTTTGTGGTAGTCCAAACTTTTTTGTACCAAAGTGGCAATTTTTGACAAACCATAGGGACCATTTATGCAGTTTTATCATTATTTTATTATCTAACTGTTAACGAATCTCAGCATAATGAGTTATATATCAATTACAATAAAATAGACATAAACATTTGCGTATAGTTTGAACATAACTAGTGATGTCCCGCATGTTTATTAATTATATACTTTTGCTAAATAAAATAATATAAAAGATTGGTATGTAAGATTACTTGTGTAAATTAAGAGACATGATCCATTTATTAAAAATAATAATAAGTAATTATAAAAACCACATGGACCTAAATTGTAATTTAGTCTTCTTGTAAAATTATAAAAACATGGACCTAAAGTGCAAAACATTGTAAACTATAAGAACCAAAAGTATAAGTCATTCCTTTCTTGCAAATTAAAAACTGCACCAACATAATTTTAGAAAATTAAAACAAAAATACCAAAAATATAATTCATTCAAACAAAAAACTTTAGGGATCAAAATGTAATTGTGAAGAATTAAAACTATAGGGACCGAAAGCATCTTTTGCTTAATTCCTTCTTGCAAGCTAAAAAATACACGGACCAAAAGGGTAATTTTGAAATTTAAAAACTACAAGACCATAAATGTAATTTATGCAAATTTAGTCTAACTTTTGAATTTTGGGCATGGCTAGTCTTTGTGGTTTCCACGGTTTCCAAAAGGTGCACCCGTGGTCCCTTAGGTTGCTACAAAGCTCTATTAAATGCCTTTAAAAACACTTTTTTGCCCTCAAACTGAACTTGAAATCTCTTATCAACCCTGAATCGTAGCATCCACTCATCCTCTATCACCTGCCATCACCGGCCACACCTCCTCACCTCCGTCGTCGACCTCACCTTTGCAATAGAGGAGGCAAATGGTGTTGCCGAAAGTGTATAAGTAGAGGCAGAAGAAACTCTGAAAAGAGATGGAAGTGAAGAAAATGGTGGGGACGTAAGTGTTTCTCTAAATAGGATAATTGCGGTGGTGATATACAGTGGTTGGGTGGCATTTTGGCGGCGATAATGACGTTTTGATGGTTGTGGCTGTTAAGTCCAGCAACAATGGTTGTAATGATGGTTGTGGTGGTAATAGTTGTATATTATGGTTGTGATTGTGGTGATGAAATCAAGTGGTTTTTGTTGTGTTTGTGGGTCACAAATGTCATATAGGACGGTCCTACATTGTGATATAGGGAGGTTGTGATGGTGATATAAGCTTATCGGAAGTGGTTGTGATTAGAGCTAGCAAAAATCGATCCAACCCGTCAACCTAACCCGAACCCAACCCAAAATTAGCGGGTTGGGTTGAGATTTTCAACCCCTTTAACTTAAATTAGTCAATCCGTCTAACTCATTTAATTAAATAGGTTGAATTGGATAAAAATTATCAACCCGTTTTCAACCTGTGAACCCATTTAACTTTAATATATATATATATATATATATATATATATATATATATATATATATATATATATATATATATATATGAATATTATCATTTATTAATCAAAGTATTAATTTGTAAATTATAATGTTGCATTATTATTAACTATGTTTAACAAAATTCAATCTTAATTTCCATCCTTTTTTTAGCGCCGGTAATACTAGTCACTCTTCAAAATCACTGTGAAACTAAATATTTTTAATGTTATTTGAACAATTTATTTGTATTTATGAATTAGGATTGTGTTTCAGTCTATAAAGTTTTATTTACGTTTTATAATATAATTGGTATAATATTTAATTATATAATTTATTTAATTGATTGTAAGTGTGTTAACCCATTTATTTAATAGGTTGGGTCGGAAACTACATAAACAGGTCAACCCGGTGATAACTCATTTATCTAAAAGGTTGGATTGGGTTGGAAATATCAACTCATTTAAATAAATAGGTTGGGTTGGGTTGAAATTTTCAACCTAACCCGAACCCAACTCAGATCGACCTATTGCCACCTATAGTTGTGATATATATAGATTTAAATAAACCACTAAGGATCGAGTCATGTCAAACATGCAAAAGTTAGAACTAAAAATGTAGATTTATATAAACCACAAGGACCAAAACTAAAATATAGATTCAGCAAAAAAAAATTAGAACCAAAAATGTCATTTGATTTTTTTAGAACAGCTATCTCATAGACTTATTAATAATACTTCTAAATCCATCTTTTGTCTTTAACAGGACTCAAACGTCAGTTCACCTTTTTAGGAGGTAACACCTTGCTCGTAAATACGTAGTTGTTTTAATAATTATCGGTGAAATGTCTAACCTAAATATCAAATAGACTAAACTGCACAAATGGTCCATGTGGTTAGCTCAAAATTGTCACTTTGGTCCAAAAAGGTTTGGACTAGCACCATAGGTCCAAACTTTTCATTTTGTTGCGAGTTTGATCCAATTTGCTTTGAACTTTTTTCAAATGACGATTTTGCCCCTATTTTTTATTTTTCAATTTTTTATTATTTTTATTAATTTCTTTTTCCATTTTTTATATGACAATAACTAAGAAAAAATATATTGAGTGCTTATCCCCCACCCCATTCCTTCTCTCTCTACATTACATATGAAGAACACTAAAACTCTAAACCTGCACATCACTGAAACTCCGACTCCGACAAAGGCTGAACCGTCGAACCATCGCCCTTCTCGTCGGAACTCCCTCTTCTAACCGAAACGTAACCTATTTGAAACCACCAACACCAGCCGAAAACCGCCACCACAACCGCCGTTCTCTCTCCACTCCGTCTCTCTTTCTCTCCACCGTCTCTCTCATTCTCCGGCGTTGCCACCTGAAGTTGAAACATCTCTTTCTGATTTCGTTGGAGTTCTGCTGTGAAAACCCTTCTCGCCGATCTTTTTGAAAATCTTTTCATCGTAGATCAGGAACACCGACGATCTGCAACACGTCCATCTTCTTCTGAGCTCCAACTCCTCACCATCTCCGGAGACGAACGGATCTGATTCAAGGCAGCAACGGAACCTAAGGCCATCGATCAAGGAGGAATCCAAAGTGGTTTTCGGTGAAGTCGAGTTACAGGAGGTGACGACGTTGTCCCCCCTCCCAAACGACGAAGACGATGGCGCTGTCAAGAACGACGGAGGGGAGAGAGATAAGGGGGGCCCTTCGTCTTCTCTGTTGCCCAGATTTGTATATAGAACCATCACCACCGGCCATTTAGGGTTTTTGACGGTAGATTTGAAACTCTCGCTCTTTCCGACAAGCATTTTGATCGCTCTGACGGTTGTATAGAGAAGATGATCGAAGCAACTGAAAAAAGAGAAAGAGGCTGGCATCGGGAGTGGTGGTTGTGGCGATGGTTTCCGGCAGGTGGCGGCAGTTTATGGTGGGTGGCGTTTTTTTCCGGTAGGTGGTGTTTTCCGTCTGGTAGCGATGGTTTCCGACGACACAGTGGAGTGAGAGAGATAGGTAGCATGTATGTTAAAGAGATAGTGGGTGGGTGTAGTAGTATGGGTGAGTTTTTTTCTTAGTTTTGTTTTTAAATCTTAAAATCAGAAAATAAATAATAAAATGGAAAAAGAAATTAATAAAAATAATAAAAAACCAAAAAATAAAAAATAGGGGCAAAATCGTCATTAGAAAAAAGTTCAAAGCAAATTGGACCAAAGTCACAACAAAATAAAAAGTTTGGACCTGTAGTGCTAGTCCAAACTTTTTTGGACCAAAGTGGCAATTTTGAGCTAACCATAGGGGCCATTTGTGCAGTTTAGTCTATCAAATAAGATAAACACACAAAAAAAAACTATAGAGCAAAACCAATTTGAACAATGCAATTCATCTGTCAACATATACAGATATTGTTAGAAATATGGTTTAGTGGCACTTGAAAATCTAAGAATCGTGATAATCACTTTCAAATCGAAAGATTTGGGTGGTACTCCCAAATCCTCAATTGGATAAGACTCAGAGAAAATCAGAGAGAAAGAAAGAGAATGAGAAGGTGTAATTTCGTGAGTACCAGAAAAAACTGACTAAAATTTGGTTATAAACCTTCCTTATCTGAAAAACTGTCAAAACTGTCATATAACAGTTTTTTTATCAACAGTCAAACTGTTATAAATCCGGGTTTTGTACAAGGATTAATGCTAAGTCAAAACCAGGTCAAATATTCAAAGTTTGGATTTTATGATGCATTTTTAATACAGCTCGACCCCAGCCAGGGGCTCTGCCCCTTGGACCCCGCCAGGGGCTGCCGCCTCTTGGACCCCGCTCCCAGGGGCGCTGCCCCCGGACCCCCGTTCGTTCAGGGGCTTTGCCCCTAAATGACAGTATACTTTGATACTTGATCAAACTTAAACAAGTGTGTACTCCACACTTTCCTTACTTGTTTAATATTTATCAAGATCATTTTTAGTCAACAAAGTAATCCCATTACACTTAAATAACCTATTACACTTAAATAACCTTGATGATAACAAATCACCAACAGATATAAGTAATACAAATATACAAATTTGTGTTTTTAAACAAGTATGCATAGGATAGGGGTAGTTTGATAATTTGGATTAAGGAAATTGACAAGTTTCTTTAACCACAGAAGAAAACGACTACTTTGCACCCAACAGTTAAGTTTAAATCAAAGTATGAACTCATCAAGATTCACAACTCGAAACAAGTTCAAAACTACAAAACATCAAATAATGTAATATCATCTAGAAACCACTCATCCCAAAACTAATTTAACACAACTCAAAACTGGTTTGATAGTTTTTTAAACAATCATACCACTTATATAAATGCAATGCCTATTATCCCATAATGTTGCTCCAAAAATGTCTCTCATGATCATAAACTTAATTTCATCAAAACATACCTTTTATAGAATGGACTCCACTCCACTTCACTTAAGCTTTGTGTTTCCTTTTGTTACTGGATTTAGCTCCTGTAATCTTCTGATATGCTAAAAGCCTTGAAGGTGGCAGCTTGAACTCATTCAGCTTCTTCTTTCTTCTCTGTTTCCTAGAAAGTACTTTTTCACCTTCATTTTGAGCATCATCAACCACTTGCTCATTAGATTTATCAACATCATGTTTGATCCTCTTTCCACCATTCTCAGAAGTCTCCCCCTTAAGAAGAGATTTAATCCTCTGTTTATGTTCCTTTATCTTATGGCGAGGAACAATGAACTCATCTTCTCTATAAGTAGCCAACTTCTTCAAAGGAACTAACTGATTCAACTCCTTGTCATCAACTACCAAAAATCTCCTTTGCTTTCAATCCATAAGTGTTCTTGTTAACAGGTCTGTATTTAAACCTTGTCTTCAAATCCCCAATTGTATCCTCATAGTCCAATTTATAATACTCTTCTAACTCTTTCTTAATCGCCTCCTCCTCCACTTCAGACCTTTTCCTTTTCTTCTTCTTATCTTCTTCATCATGTGAATTGTCAATCTTGCCCTTTAAGGTTTTTTCTCTAGTAGCCAAGAACCCATCACCAGATCCATATTCATTTTCCCACCGTTTTGGAAGCCCAAGAAACTCGTCTTCTTCATCAAAGTTTGGTTTTTCCAATTCACCATCTTCTTCTTCTTCTTCACTACCAAATCGTGGGTCCACATCATCAGCTTCATAGAAACTATCATCAAAAGCTTTCTTCATTGTTCTATCATGCTCATCAGGATCGAATTCCTCCTCAAGATCATGTTCGTCTAATAAGCAAACTTCATTTTCACCAATTCCTGCTGTTTCTCTAATCTTTCTAATCTTCTCATTCATCTCTTTCTTCTTCAAGTTCTTCATATGTTTCAGTTCTTCCTTTCTTTCAAGTTCAGCCAGTGCTATCCTTTCCTCTTTGTTTTTCCTTTGTATCTTCCTTGCATTGTCCTTCTTCCTCACTGAACCATCAACCTTTCTTGAAAACCCCATAACTCTATCACCTGCATTTTCTTCAAACCTAAAATTGAACTCTCTTTCGAAATTCTCTTGTCTCTCTAACTCCTCTTCATCCTCTGAAACATCTAATTCCACATCATTTAAGTGGTTACTACTACCCGTCTCTTTATCTAACCACATCTTTTTCCTGAAATAATCCTTCAAAAACTTCTCATTTTCATCTAACTTTTCATCCTCTTCAAAATACTCATCTAGCTTCTTTTCATACTCAACTTCATCTTCATCTTCATCTTCGATTCCCCCTTTATCATTCTTTACCTTCAACAAATCATCTTCATTGTCTTCATCACCTACTGCATCCAAAAACTCCTTTCTCAATACCTCCTGTTCTTCAGAATAACTCTTTTTCTTACCCTTGTTTTCCTCTTCGTCATCTTCATCATCAAACTCAGGCCCTTTCTCAATTAAATGCTTTGCAGTCACATCTTTCAGATACATCGGTTTCCTTTTCTTTTCCTTATTATTATCCTCAGTTTCATCCTCATTATCCAAATCAAATAGCTTAGCATCTTTATTTTTAAGTGAAGAATCTTGCTTTTTGACCTTTATTAACGCATCAAAGAACTGCAAATCCTGCTTTCTCGAATAATTGACAATATTCTCCTCGTCTTCAGATGACTCGTCTTCTTCCTCGCTATCTATGTCGGAATCAATCACACCTTTCTTCTTCATCTCATCATACCGCTGTATATCTTCACGTTTCTTGTTGTGCTCGTATCTGCGTGCGAACTCTTTGTTGATTTCTATTTTGGATAAGTCATCAGAATCGGAGCCACCATTGTCAAATAGCTTCATCCCCATTCTTTCTATGCTATGAACTCCGATAACTGATTTAGCAAGAAAAGAGTATCATTAGAAATTATTCAAACTTCCAATAGCAGACAATAACTATAGATAAATTAGAAATTAGAACTCAAAACTATAGAAACTTCCAGTAACATACAAAAAAATCAGATTTTAAAATCTGAAATTACACATTAATCTGAAATTCTGACATTATACATTAATCTAAAATTAAAACATGAAATCAGAAATCAAAATCGTACATTGAAATTTATGGGTTTGCGTTTGCGGTGGGCAGAGAGACCAAAAGAGCGGACAGAAATACCACCGGAGGTGGGTAGGCGGCTCGGCGGCTACCTGACTTCGTACGCCGGACTGAGCAGAGAGATAGAAAGAGCGGACAGAGAGACTGCGGCTTCGAGAATCGCGTTTGATCGAGAGAGAGAGAGAGGGGAGATGATAGATAGAGCGGACAGAGAGACCGCCGGAGGTGGTATCGGCGGCTTCTTGTTCTGAGGGAGAGTGAGACGATCGTGCGTGTGTGTTTATCTCGGACTCGATTGAAATGTTGAGTGAGAATCGGTTTCACCAAACCCTAGTTTTAAATTTATAATTAACTATAGTAAATTACAAGAATGGTCCTTTGGTTTGGAGTCGATCCATATGCTGTATCGGTGTATCCCTAACTTCGTTTTTAATTCAAACCATCGTTATAGTTAAATAAATAAATAATAAATAAATAAATAAAGTATTTAATTAAGAAATAGATGTGGAAAAAGTTGGAAGTGTACGTGTTTATCTTCGACTCGATTGAAATATTGAATGAGAATAAAGTGAAACCTCGTATAAATATGTTTACTTCTTCCATGAAAAACGTGATTCTTTGTTAGTTTGATAGCCGACTTGTTATCAACTCTAAGAACCACTTTCTCTTGCGCTTTGTTTATGATTTCTCCGAGCAAATCTTGAAGCCATATTGCTTGACATGCGGTCGCCGTGGCCGCCATGAATTCCGCCTCGGAAGATGATAAAGCAACGGTATCTTGCTTTTGCGAACACCATGTAATTGGAGATGACTCGTAGTAGAAAATGTGACTGGTTGTGCTTTTCCGTTATTTAGGTCAACATTGTGACTACTATCACTATAACCAATAAGTCGCCTTTGTCCCATCCTCTCGTACTTGATTATGTATCTCGTTGTTCCTCGTAAGTACCTTAGAATGTGTTTGATTGCAACACCATGTGATTCTCTTGGACTTTGCATATATCGGCTAACAACTCCAACCACATATGCCATGTCGGGTCTTGTTTGCAAGAGATATCTAAGGCATCCTACCACCTTTCGATATTGTGTTGGGTCGATTTCGGGTTCATCTTCGGCCTTTGACAATTTATTTCCTGGTTCCATTGGAATGTGGGTCGGATTGCAATCATGTAAACCAACTTCTTTTAGAATGCGTTGAGCATATGCTTCTTGGTTTATAGTAATCCCCGATTCCTCTTGCTTAACTTCAGTGCCAATGTAATAAGTCAATCTTCCAAGATCCGACATCTCAAAGTTCTTGGACATCTCTAATTTGAACCTCTTGATCATGTTCAAATTTATACCTGTGACAAATAGATCATCAACATAAATTGCTAAAATTAGCAAGTTAGATCCTTCACTTTTCCAATACACCGATGGTTCTTTCATGCACTTTTGAAATTTCATATTCTTCAAAATCCCGTCAAGCTTCGTGTTCCATGCTCGAAGTGCTTGTCTTAGACCATATAGTGCTTTTGTAAGGCAATATACTTTATTCTCGTTGTCTTTCTTTATACAGCCTTCCGGTTGCGATACGTAAACGGTTTCCTTTAATTCTCCATGTAAGAATGTCGTTTTAACATCTAAGTGGTGAAGCTCCCACCCATGAGTAGCAGCTAAGGCTATAAGAAATCGGATGGTTTCGATTCGAGCTATCAGGGCAAATACTTCTTGAAAATCAATATCGGGTTATTGCACGTAACCTTTAGCAACCAACCTTGCCTTGTATTTATTAATGGTGTCGTCTGCATTTTTCTTCAATTTGAACACCCACTTGAGTCCAATTGGCTTCACCCCCATAGGCTTGTTCATGAGAGTCCAAGTATTATTCTTGTTTATCGAATTGATTTTCGCATCCATGGCTTTGACCCACTATGGTTCTTTCTTCGCTTCTTCAACCGATATCGGCTCGTCATTGGTTGATAGAAGTAGTTCTTCGAGATTATCAAGATCAAGCTCATAATCTTGAAATCGTATTGGAGGTACTCTTGTTCTCGAGGGCCTTTGGTTTGCAGTTCCTTGTTGAACATTATTATTGACCGGACTTGGTTGTTCATTATCTTGTACTTCCGCTCCGCTCTCTCAATCTCATGACCCGATTCAATCGGCTCCATTGAGTCATTGTTTACCTCGTTTCCTTGATTGTTGATCGTCTCGACTTCTGGGTAGTCCCATGGTATTGGTTCTTCATTGTTGGTTCCTGCTCTTTAATCCAATCCCACCCTTTGGTTTCATCATAAATAACATCTCAACTTACGATTATTTTTTGTGTCATCGGGTTAAATAACCGATAAGCTTTCGTACCCAGTTCGGAACCAAGGTCTTGATCTTGCATCCAACTTCTTTAGATTAACCGGTTCAACTTTTGCATGTGCTAGACACCCAAATATACTAACATTTTCTAAATTCGGTTTTCTTTTATACAACTTTTCGTATGGAGTTATATCACCAAGGACTCTTGTGTAAATGCGATTGATTAGATTTGTAGAGCGATTTACCGCTTCTCCCCATAAGTAGTTTGGAACATGCATTGCCTTCATTATACTTCATGTCATGTCCATAAGTGTTCGGTTTCTTCGTTCCACAATTTCGTTTTGTTGTGGAGAGTATGGGGCGGTAACGTGGCGTATGACTCCGTTTTAATCACAAAAAGAAATAAACTCGAGAGAAGTAAACTCACCTCCTCGATCACTTCTAAACACTTTGTAACGCCCCGATTCTCAGGTATTGTTTAAATAAGATTTATTGGGTTAAGCTCTACTCGACGAGTTGGTTGACCTACTCGTCGAGTAGCAGCGAGGTGGGATCGTGTGTCAAGTGACCTACTCGACGAGTCCATATTGGGACTCGGCGAGTAGGAGCTGGCAGATGAAACCCTAATTCTCGGGGTTTGCACCTCTATTTAAAGGAACCTCAGCCTCCTTTGGCCTCTTTGCAGTCTTTGAGAGCCCCTTAAAACCCTAATACGTGTGTGTGTGTGTGCCCATTTGTGTGTTTGAAGCTTGAAGAGAGGATCCTTGGAGGGAGAAGGCTTAGAGGAGAAGGAGATTGGAGCAAGTAGAGTGTGGGAATCAACTCTTACCTCAGTTATCATCTTCTGGAGGTAACCAAATCGCCTTTTTCCTTGTGAATCTCTTCTATTGGTTGAGTTTTAGGGTTTTTGGTGAGATATTAAGTTGGAAAGATGAGCTATGGGCTAGATCTGAGGTTGTAACTTCAGATCTGGACCCTCCTTGGATTCTATAAGCATAAAGTTCCAGTTTTGGTCATGATTAAGGTCCCTCTTGAGCATGAAGTTCCATTAAGAACTTAAAATAGGCATTTAGAGCCTTTATGGCCATGCATGCACGTAAAGTTTGCAACTTTACGTGATAAGCATGCCCTATAAGCTTAGATCTGTGATTTGGAGCCGCTGCATGGCTCAAAACAAGTCTGTATGGAAAAAGGACTGAATGGACTCGGCGAGTCGCAAGGTTGACTCGGCGAGTCACATGAAGAGGGTCGTGGACTCGGCGAGTCACATGAACAACTCGGCGAGTCCGATGAAGATTACCATAAGACTCGGCGAGTTGAAGAACAACTCGGCGAGTCGGATGAGTTTTCCCTAGGATATGTATGTGTGTGTATCCGTCAAGTTGCAAGGAGGGAACTCGACGGGTGGCCTTAAAGTTTGAACGAGAATCGAAGCAACTCGACGAGTCACCCCGATGACTCGGCGAGTTGGATTGTGCTTCAAGGAACTCGGCGAGTAGCCGAGGGTACTCGGCGAGTTGGGGTCAACATGGACTGTTGACCTTGACTGAGGACTTTGACTTGGACCAGGGGTTGACTGGTGGGTTATGGAGTACCTTATAAGGTTAAGGACTTATGAGTATATTGTACTATGATCATAGGTGGTGGAGCCTGTGTCAAGTGATCCGAGAGTTGGGGTTTATCTTCCGAGTCGACATTTGCAAGGTGAGTTATCCTCACTATATCGATAGGGTCTACGACACCAAGGCCGGCCCTTTAGTTGTTATTGCTATGGTATGCTACATGTGGTTATGATCTGCTAGATCGGAATCAGGGTATACAATATGTTATGCTCTTATGATCCGTAAGGATTGGTATGTTAGTGACCTGCTGGGTCGGTACCCTAGTTACGAGAGGATTCTGTGATTGATGATCAGTGTGATAGATATGTTTGATGTTTGTATATGCCAGTATATGATAGTTATGCGCACATGGTTATTTGCTTGTTGGTTGGGTTGAGGCGGTCCTGCTTTGTGCTGAAGGCCAACATACCCTATGAGCGGTCCGGGGAGACTGCAGGCCCACGAGGCGGACCAGTCATGTCGAAGGCTCGGGATAGATTCAGATAGACTGTAGGCCCAGTAGGGCGGTCCAGTCAGGCCGATGGCCAGTATACATGTTGATTGATTGATTGTTACTGATATAGCATTGTCAGTGTGGTATTGGTATTTTGGGGATAGCTCACTAAGCCCTCGGACTTACAGTTTTCAGTTTATGGTTTCAGGTACTTCAGTAGATCATGGCAAGGCGAAGGCGTGACCGTACCGCTCCTCATCCTTATGTTATATTTTTGGGACACTCTGATGGATATTGATTTGAAAACATTTTTGTAAACGATACTAATTGACTTTTATTTATGATTTTAAAAGTTTAAATTTGGCGTAAAATTTATGGATGTTACAAGTTGGTATCAGAGCCTTGGTTTGAGTGAATTGGAGGAACACTCGTGTGAATCCAGTCTCAAATCAAGGGGATTTTTGGAAAGAAAGTTTTAAAAATGGTTTCATAATAAAGGATGGAGGATGCAGAGGGTACGATCAGCTGGAGCCTGTAAGTAAGCCCCAAAATACCATACAGTTATTTGATATTCTGATATGTTAGAACAACATGCTAGTGCTAGGCTAGGGATCTTCAGGAATCGCATGATAGATTTTCCTGATTATATGATACCTATTAGCCTAGGGTTTCTTGTATATGGAATTGACATCATAACTGTAAATGTTTAGTATATGCATCACGGCTGTGTATAGTTAAGATCTTATAGCCTGAGAATGTCTGATTCGACCTTAGGGTAGGATTGGATATTCGAAAGTCTATCGGGTCCAGCGTTATGTGCGGCTAGCATACACTAGCGCTGCAGGGGCTGATGGAAGTTCCATGGAGGTGTGAGTTGTGCAGAGCTGTGGGATCAGTTGGGAGATAGGCGATGTTCCCTAGTAGTGAGGGTTGAGCGCACATTATGTTGAGTACAGTATTAGGGCGTTGTGGTGATACTTGAGACAAATATGGGTAGGTGTGGAAGGTAGTATGGGCCCGTACTACTGAAAGCACAGGACCCATACGCGTAGCAAGGAAGTCACAACCCCTAGGATTTGTGGGTTTTGGTCTTCCG